GTAGATCCGAATCACCACATCATCCCTCTCAGTACCATATTATGTAACCCTTTGTGATCCCATAATTGACCAATATTCTACTCTGTGACCTACTACATTGATCAATTTTCCCCTCCTTTATCATTCATGTCCCATTACCTAACCATTTTCAACTTTCTTCCCTCCCCGGTTAATCGTTTTCCATTACGTAACTCTTTTTATGATATTATCCTCTTTTCCTGAATCTTTGTAATCATTATACCCTCCTTCCGCCCTCGGCCACTCATCTCTAAATGACTCAACAGCCCCATCACTTTCCACCTGAACCCATGTAATTATGTAAATGTCCATATATGGTATTTTTCTTGTCACACTCCGACCGATTTAATGTGCGTAGACATCTGATTGAGAGCACACGAAATTGATTGCCAATATCAATTCTGCTCAGATTGTGTTACTTGTTTAATTCAAACTGAACATTGTAATATCACGATTTATGTAGACACATCTGTCAGTCCAGAAGTAGGTGGACAAAACAAGGATAACGACAAAGGGGATTGACAGCACATAAGGTCAATAAAATTGTCCACATTGACGGAAGTGAAAATGAAATTAAATGATCACCCACGGTTGAGACAATCAGAGCAGCTTTTGAAAAGTGAGCAAAACTGACTGAAGTTGGAAGCGACGAACTGGTGTGGCAGTCCTGCCAAATATCTGAAAAACACCGAGGTCCTCTTGTTGTTTTTCAATGGGGGTTCTTGATTTCAGTGTTTCCAAAGTAACTTCATCATTCCACAGAACAGAATACGAATGAAATACTATAACATGCGTGATACTACTCGAAAGTAGTTATATGACGCAAACCAGATAAAGTGTACCAAATAAAAACCTAGGAGATCAATAAACACCAGAATACATGGACAAAATGTATTATCATTCACGGTCTATTATGTCATCCTGTGGTGATTTTATGTTCGGGAATATATCAGAGTTGATTTATAAGCCATTTCTAATCTGTCATTGGAGCGTAAAGTCCGATGGATATTACAATAGGTGTTCCAAAGCATTTGGTGCATGCAATCGCACATGCA